CATCATGTTTTAAATAGCTTTTCTTTATATTTCACTTGTTTTTAAAAAAATTCTTTATATTGAAATGAGTTCAGTTATGTTGAGTTGAGCCAGGTAAGTTCTTCAGTTCCTTTCAAGCTTATATCTTGTTTTAGAATTCCCCTCACATACTGGTACATTCAATGTACTGATGCAATTTGGCATGTATGTTATTATAATGCAAACACAGGTAACTAGGATCAGTATCTAGCGCATTGTTGATCCAGTTGAGCACTCAGAGTTTGTGGTAAGCCTCCTTGCTTCCGGAGGATCCCTTTTATTGCTTTCAGTTTTATTACTAGTTCATTAGGATGTCGTGGGTCTTGTCCCAACACCTACCTCAGTTGTTTAGAGGCTTCATAGACAGTCAGATGTTAGTTACTGAGTTTCTATTTCCTGTTTTAATGGTTGAGACTTGAGTTGACACTTTTGGCCAGTGAATGTTATCTTGATACATTCTAAGTGTTTATTGAGCAGTTCAGTTTACTTTAAAAGTATTTTTTTCTTCATGAGTTAAGTCTTTTGATGAGTGAGTAAGTCAGGCCAAGGGTTCGCTTGGGGCTAGTAATGGTTCTCGAGTGTCAGTCCCGCCTAGGGTGTAGGCTCGGGGCGTGACAAAATTAACCGCAAAAAAAACCAAATCAAACCGATAAATTAGATATTTAAATTTTATAATTATTTGTATATTATTCATAAATAAAATATAAATATTTTGTTAAATTTTAATTAACTTTAGTGTTTAACTTTACCATTTTCTCAAGAACAACCTTTAGCCAAACTATAACAATCCTAAGTTTAAGTCCATCAAAATCCATTATAGTCTTTACCTACCCTACTTCACATAAAATAGTCCCATCACTTTCTCTTAATTGAATCACTTTGTTCGTGTAATGATAACTCTAGTATTGTTTAATTGCTTAATTGAACCGACAATAACTTTTCTATGGATTGTTCATGTACTAGGTGTTTGTGTCTATCAAGATATGTACATCCTCAAAAACCTATTACTTTCCAACTAAATAAACCAGAAAAACTGAACCAAACTGACAATAACCAAACCGACTGTTTTTTTTTTTCGTTTGATTTGGTTAGGTCTTAGAAATTTAAAAAACCGACTAGATTGATTTGGTTTTGGTTTTAATCAATGACCGAACCACGAACACCCCTAATCGTAGGTCTAAAACTGCAGAAAAACAAAAAAAATGTTCTAGTCGGATTTACCATTTCACTTTGTTTTGACTGACTTTTGAGAGAGAAAACAACCTAGAGCTTTCCCTAATCAACTTAGGTGAGTTATTACTCAATTTTCATAATTGTTATATCGAATTAACAAGGACTAACGCTAGAAAGATCATTCTTATCCTTAGATTTCAGCAGTCAAATTTAAGAACAATATTGAAAGGGATTTTAGGGAATTTTCACGAGGTAATTACTATAGTTTGAGGGTTAATTGAAATTTTGTAGCCTATTGAAAGACGTTATTAGCAATATGTGATTCTTGAATTTGTAAAATAAACATGAATTTGTCTTAGAACCCTAATTTTGTTTTAAAAAAGGTGGGAATTCATGGAATTTTATCAAAGTTCTAAACTTTGGTGCTGGCCGTTTAAATATGAGAATTAAGCTAGCTTATATTTTTACAATATTGGAAGGGATTTTAGGGAATCTTCACGAGGTAAGTCCCTTGATTAATTACTATAATTTGAGGGTTAATTGAAATTTTGTAGCCTATTGAAAGGCATTATTAACAATGGGTGATTCTTGAATTTGTAAAATAAACATGAATTTGTCGTAGAACCTAATTTTTGTTTTAAAAAAGGGTGGGAATTCATGGAATTTTATCAAAGTTCTAAACTTTTGGTGTTTGTCCGTTTAAATATGAGAATTAAGTTAGCTTATATTTTTACAATATTCCAAAGGATAGATGTTAGGGACTTAAATGATCTTCTTTAAGGAAGTAGTTATAATGATCTAAGCTACTCAGATTCAGGTTCGGATATTTAATTAATACACAGGTTGGATCTTTCATGATTTAAATTTTAAAATTTGGGGTATATATCCATGTATGAATACGAGCGTGGGGATTCAACTAAAAATAATTTAAATATCTAAAAATAGAGTTATATGTTTAAATTATGAGACATTAAGTGGAAAACTAAGAAGGTATATTTCTCAGTAGAAAATATTGATCAAGAAGAGAATCATATATAGAGATATTAGGAAAGGAACTTGCATAAAAAAAATTATAACAAGGTATACAATGTTTTGATAACAAAAATCATTATATTTGTCCTAAATTTCTCCATTAATTTTAGTCAAAGTACTAAAAATTAGTTGATCTGATTCGGTACGGATTCCATATCTACACCCACACCTACACCTATGTTTGTATCGACATAGGTGCGATACCAAAAGAGAATAGTCCAAAATACTTAGGTAATGATATATTTATGTGAGTGAATGCCTTGGGGGAATAAATACTCACACACTATGTTATTGTTGAGTGAATAATCGTGAATTATCTATTTATATATGACTAATCACACATGTGAAATTCTTTACGGTACTTTGAAAAGCTAATCCAAAGACTTATAAATGCTAGGTGTGACAGATTCTCAAAGCATTATTTATATGTGTTGCTGAAGAATATTTTGAGATTAATAATTTATGATCTCCTTTTTTGTTGGATTTTTTGTGTAATCCAATCAAAACTATTTGTTAATAAACCTCCTGATTATTATCAATATTTTAAAAAATAACTTCGTGAAATACTAAGGTTGTCGATGGATTTATGATCAATTAGAATCAGAGTTATTGCCAGATGCCTTCTTTTCCTATTTTTAATAGTTATCTTCTTACGTATGATATAATTAACTAGTCTTAGTTAGGAATGTTATAATAAGCCAAAAATATAAGTATTTCGTTAAGGATTTATGAGTTGAACTCAAAATAATTTGAATTGGGTCAATCTCAATCCATTTTAAGAGAATTTTCAGTTCAGCCAAATGTAATCTCCAATTTTAATCCGTTTTAAAATTCTTTATTTGCATTGTTGTAATGTATGTTCCCATATTGAAAGTATGAATTACAATCTATTTTATATCTTTTATGATTCATCTATACATTTGTAACTTTTATTTTTATTATTATTATTATTATTACTATTATTATTATTATTTTGAGTTGAAATTCAAATTATGATCATAAAAAATAAATAATAATATATTAAAATTATTGAGATTAAACAAGTCAAATTGGGATCTAAACCAATTTTTAGCCGAGGTCAAAGTAAATTTAGATGGATATGATCCAATTCAAATATGTACAATTTCAACCTTTGTGAGCATGAATTGCTTGTGGCACAAGATAGCTTATTAGAAATATGAATGAGAGAGGTGATCCCCAATCGTACTGTCAGCTTCTCTAAGAGAAGATGGACAAGCAAATAATTCACATACGACTTCTTCCAATCAGCTCTGTTACAATCGATTTTTCAGGTTAATTCAAAATATACTTTCAATTCGTGTTCCTGCAGCCCCAAAGTGAAAACACTTAAGTATATTGTATGTGTCTATTCCCATACAGAAGTAGTATTATGCTGGTTTTTGAAGTTCCCTTTTCAATGATTTTGAGGATTATGAATTTGCTCACTATTGAATTCTATCGACCAATGTACATAAATTTGATTTTTGGGATTAGTATTTTAGTATGTGATTTTTTCATAATCCTAGGTCGTATTTTGGATGACGAAATGGCCGGTAACCTGCAAATGTTACCAACGGTTTATTAAATGAAGACTTCAATGCTTAAGTTTGTTCATCTGATCCTTTTTTATGCATATTAATTTATATATTTCTCCAGTTTCGCTCTTTTTTTTTCTTCTGAATTTCCTTAGGTATACACTGATTAGACAAAGATATCTTAGAGTTAAGTTGCTTTCTTGTTCTGCAATGCAGAGTATCTACAGTTTTATTTGAGATCGGAATGAGCATATTCACTTTAATGTTGGAGTTCAAGCTTTTAGGCTCCATAAAATATATAGATGTGAAAAACTATGCTCTCTTTATATGTTGATAGATACCTGAATCTCTTTTAAGTGCAGTATAATACGTGCACTATTTTCTTGATCTGTTCTTATTTAAAATCTGAACATTAAAGCCACTGTTGTTATTCAACATCTGAACATTAAGCTGCTGTTCCCATTTCCCTGCTGAGTGAGTGCACTTTACACTAAGTAAAGGCTCGCTCTAAGTGGATATTGTTTGCATCGGATCTGATCAGGTTCTCTATTGCTCAATGATATTCCACGATCAAGACAATTGGCTGAATCCCATGAAATCATTTCATAGAAGTTCATTCATGATATCTTCTTTTTATAAAGTGAGACTAAGTAATACAGCTCCTACTTTCAGCTGGAATGAATTCCTCCAAAGTAAGTGAAGTTCTCCACTACTAGCATCTATGTTTCATCTTAGTATCTATGTTTCATAAAAGCATAGATATGAAAGTTTTCTTATATCTATGCTTCTATTGACTAAGTTTTCTGATATATAACATTGAATTTTAACTTACATTGAAATAATTGGAAGTTGTTAGACAATGCACGATTGTTTTGAAGTTGTTATACAATGCACTGTTGTTGTATAACTTCTTACACTTTTCGTTTATTGTTGTAATATCTAGATTACCTTGTCATATTTCATCTGCGGTATAGTAAGTCCATTATCACATTCATGTTGGAAGTGAATCTTCTGTGTAACATCCTTTGAAACTAGGCAGTGTTTATGGTAATTAAAAGGGCGTGCAAAGTCTAATAGGAACAAGTATAAGTGAACAAATATGTATCATCACAAAAGAGAAGCACCAAACTTAATATTTGATCTAACAAAAAAGCCAGTTCCTAGTTTGTTTACTCTGATCCAACAGCTTCAAAAGTAAACAAAAGAGGAACTGCTAACTATACTGATGATCAAAAATAAAATCTACACGAATCCATAAGACATATCATGAGTAGAGTCGGTGTATATGAAAGGGTACTGATCTATAGGCTGCACTGTCAAACTTGAACCAATTCCATTCTCCATAAGTTGCATTGTCGAAGTTGAATCAATCCCATTATTCCCCATAGGCTGCATTGTCGAACTTGAACCAACTCCATTATTTTCCATAGGATGCATTATTGAACTTGAATCAACTCCATTATTTACCATAGGATGCCTTGTTGAACTTGAACCAATTCCATTATTTGCCATAGGCTGCATTGTCGAACTTGAACCAATTCCATCATTTGCCGACCAGTTTTCAGCCTCATTCATCATAGAATAATTAGCATTGCAAAATTGATAATCCTCGATAGTAAGAAGCCCATTATCCATCCCTGCTCCCATTGAATTCACACCACTAATTGGAATATTTGAGTGGAAGAAGTTGTTGTGATCGGTGAAAGAATTCATATTAGAAATAGGCCACAGAGTAGTATGGTTCATCAAGTTGTTGTTGTTCATGAGCTCAGGGAAGTCCCATATTTGTTGATGAGAAAGTGAGGAACTTCCAATATGAACATTCATGCTCTTCAACAATTCGATTTTTCCTTTTGCCTTTTCCATCCTTTTCTCAACAACTCCAGCAAGATTTTGCAATTCTTTTTGAGATAAATAGTCAAATCTTGAATTCCAAGTGGGATACTTTTCTACTTTGATCTCAGCCTTTTTCTTTTCATCATTTTCGAAATAGTCAAATCTTGAATCCCAAGTGGTAGGATCCTTTTCTACTTTGATCTCAGCCTTTTTCTTTTCATCATTTTCGAAATAGTCAAATCTTGAATCCCAAGTGGGACGATCCTTTTCTACTTTGACCTCAGCCCTTTTCTTTTGATCATATTCAAAATAGTTGGACAAGGTCTTACCCCTTTTACTTCGGCCTTCGAATGGTTGGGTTTTGTAGAGATTTATCAGCTCTTTAACTTCATTTGGATCATTCGGCCACATTTGATGATTATTTCCTTCATATATGATCATGCATGCTTTGATGTCACAAAGTATTGAGAGTTCCGAGATTTTCTTGACTAAGCCAGCTTTCCGATTCACCAAAGTAGACTTCCTCTTCTTGTGATCTTGAATAAATTCCACTTTGATTTTTGATCTTCCCATTTTATCTGCACTTCAAGAAAATACACATGCATACATGTATAATTAAATACTAGAAGAATAAAGAAAGCAGGCACTGTATTTAATTCATAAAACTTCAAGAATAGCAGATGAATCAAAGCTTCACAATTAACTAATGTGATTTAGTTGTATGAGAATAGCAATGAAATATGGAAAAGAAAAAAAATTACCAGGAGTGAATTAATACGTCTTGTACAAGTCTGTTGCTATAAATATATATATAAGAAGTTTGACGCGTGGTTGCCTGTTTTTAGAAACTATACTAATTATTTTATAAGAATATTTGTCCTTCCACCGCTTTTCTTACCCTATTTTATAGGAATTACTGATCAGTTTATAAAAATACTTAGTACTCCTAGTATTATTTGATTTTGTGTGTGAGGTGCTTGGCCCTTTGAAGCTAAACATTTTAATTTGGCTTTCTTAAGTTATTATTTTTTTCTCATAAATATAAAAATCTTAGAATTTGAAAAATTATCAAAACTTCTTCAACTCTTATACAATTTTACAAATTGACCGAAACATAATTAATAATAATGCATCAAAATATCCTAAGTTGTTGAATTAATAAATCACATATTTTCATGTTTATTTATTAGTATATATTTGGCTATGGATGGTTTCAGAAGAGGCAGAGGTAGACCGAAAAAATATTGGTGAAAAGTGATTAAAAAAGACATGCATGTCACAACTTCAATTTACCGACATGACCTTAAGATAGGAGGGTATGTGGGGGACATGGATTAGGCTAGAAGGTTAGAAGGTAGCAGTGTGTTATCTTGTTGTCTATTCATGTTAGCATTTATAGTATTACTTTTGAAATTTCTTGTCCTTTTAATTTTATTACTATATGTTGATAATTCCTTGTACCTTTATTCTTGTATTATTGTATTGTAGTTTTGGTTATGTTACTATCTGTTGTTTTTGTTATTGACTAATGTTTCTTGTACTTCTGTTACTTCTTTTGCGAAATGTTTGGACTATTTGATCTTGAGCAAAAGGTTTATCGGAAGCAACCTCTCTTTCTATGAGAGAGAGGTGAGATCAACATACATTTTATCCTATCCAAACTCCACTTTGTGGGATTACGCTTGACAAGTTATTGTTTGTTTATGAAATGTGAACAAAACTTTTCAACTTCAATTTCAAATTATGATTTGAAATTTCAAATTCTCCAAGAAGTAGGATTTCAACTTTCTAGGTGTGATTTTATTTTTAAAAATGTAAGAAATTTGACTCATAAGTTTTTTTTTTTGTTTTTTTTTTGCTAATTACTACTATAGATTGTTGATTTATATTACTTTTTATAAAATTGTGTACTTGGAAGTCTATATTAGCATTTAATTCCAAACATTTATTTCTACAAGAAACATGAAGATATGTCATTTATTAATGCACCGTCCTAAGATATTTAGTTATCTTATTTATGAACTATGATTTGCTCATTTTCATGAATACATAAAAAATAGGGTGTTTTCTAAAATGCAACCAAGAAAGTCATACCCCGTGAAGACATGAAAACGAGAATTTGATTTTCTAGAATGACAATCAAGGGATGTCGTACCCTCGGAAGAAATGAAAAAAGAAAAATAAGAATTTTTTTTTCTCTAAAATGCAATCACTATGGAGGAATAAATAAGAAAAAAAAAAGGTTTTTATTTTTTAAATGGAAACCATGGGATGTCGTACATGTAACACCTCGAAAGTGTATAACTCAACTAAACTAGGAAAGATGCAAAAAGTTTGTTGAAGTATGTAGAAAGTACCTTTACGAAAGGCATTTATGACCTGTACAAAGTTTCATGGACCGAAGATGCCACCCGTGGGATGGACTTCAGAAGTTGACTTTTGTCAAAACCCAAAAGTCGAGGCCATGATGACACACATCCCGAGAACCTCAAAAATGATGTGTAAGCCGAAAGAAATAACCCATACGAAATATTCAAAGGGAAGTAAGGCCACAACCGATATGAAAACAACAAAAAGTTCCCAAAACCTGCATCTAGTACATTTCTAGATTCTGAAATACATCTCAAGTCTTCGAAAGGAAATTAAAGACTGTAAATGAAAGATGGAGGCCAATGACGATCTAATAAACAAGATCTCACCACAACTCCGAATGAGAAGAAATCGTTAGATGTGATCATGCGCTACGAAGATCACCTTGACTATGATTTGTATTAAAAGATAATAGAAGTAGGAGTGAATACAATCCACATGTACTTAGTAGGTTAGAACAACTGAGTAGCAACTAATCAGACTTAAAAAATAAACTATGAAACGCTTCCACCTGCATACAAAAATGCCCCATTCTGACATCGATGCTGCCAATTTATATAATAATGGCGCAAATAAAGGTAACACAAAAGGGTTCATATAATACTCAAATCAAATAGGAACAAAGTTTATTTTTATGAATTTAAAAATTGAGTCCATAAAATTATCTTAGAAGAAATCTATTATATGTACCAAGCTTCTCAATATAGATGAAAAACTATTTATTCAATTCAATCAACTTGTCACCTTCTACTATAATTGCTTTCTTTATTAGGAGATTTTAATATATATTCATGTATTCATCCACCTTCAATTTTTATAATTCTTAATTAATTTATTGATGTGAAGTAATAATGTATTAACAAATAAGAGATGAAAAGACAAAAAATAACCTATATATATTTGTAATAGGAGAGTTCTTATTTTTATTTTAATTTCTTGTTATGAAATTAACTTTTACCTATATTTTTTAGTCATAAACTTCATAACAGTTTTCAAAGTTACACAATATCAATCACTAATCATATTCTTGAACAAATTTAATCTAAGAAAATATACATCATAAAAGAAATTGAAATAAAATAGGAGCAGAATTTGTTTTATGAATTTAAAAATTGAGTGCATAAATTTACCTTAGAAGAAATTCGGTATATGTATCATGCTTCTCGATATAGATGACATAGCACGAATCATTAAAATTTAACAAATGTTGAGCAAAAAATAGTAATGAAGTAAAAATATAAAACTTTCAACCAATAAGATTAGAAATCTCAGCATATAAAGAAATTGACTGAGAATAAAACACATATAAATAAGCGTAATTAAGATAAATATTCATCAATACATCATCTCATTAGATGAATTGCTACTCTATACAAAAATTAAAATACATTGATAATTATGTTGGAGCATTTCTCAAGCGCAACTAAACTAAAATGGTTGATACATATATGCATAGTTTGATAGTGAAAGATATATATATAAGTTAATTTTTGTCTTTTCATCTCCCATCTTTTAATATATTATTACTCCACATTAATAAAAATTAATTAAGAATTATAAAAATTGAAGGTGAATGAATGCATGAATATATATTAAAATCTATAATAAAGAAGGCAATTATGGAGGGAGATGAAAAATTGATTGAATTGAATAAATATTTTTTTAATTATAAAAAATAAAATAAGTAAATAAATTTTTCTCCCATCTTTTAACATATGCAAAATTAAATAATGAAAGTTATAAATATGGAAGATTAGATAGTTATGAGTATTTTATTAATATAATTAAGACTATCCTTTATAAATATGTAGAGGTGTGCGTTATAAAAATGATTTTTTAAAATTAATTAATTGTAAAAATAAAAAATCAAAATCAAAAAAGGAGAAAAAAGAGAGATAAAAATAACTTTGCTTATATCTGATTTTTATTTATTTATCTATATATTTATAAATAACAATTACATTTGTTATATTTTAGTTACAATTATATTTATAAATGTTTTAAATTAAATAGAGAAGGCAAAAGAAGGAATCTTGGAAAGACATAAATAGTATAATATAATATTAATGAGGAAAGAGAAAATGTAAGTGTAGTTATTTTCTGAAATTTTTAAAAGCATAATTATTTTAAATAAAAACGGAAGATAAAAGTGGGAGAAAGAGAAATCTTAGGAAGATCTAAATATGTAGTAATAATGAAGAACGAGAAAAGTTAAGTGTACCTATTTTCTGATTTTTTTTTAAAGAACAAATTAAGGGAAAAAATCCAAAAAATTGATAAAAAAAAGTAAATGGCAATTCTAGCCAAAGAAAGGTGCCACATCGGTGTCACGACCCAGACCGTCGTGATTGGCACCCACACTAATCCTCGGTGGGAGAACCATTACTACCCAGACTAAACAAATTAACCAAAAAACTATGCATTTAAAGATACAGAAGCAGGTTTAAATGACAATAAAAATGGAGTCCCATAAACTCCAAAGGTTTAAACAATTAACTAACCAAACTAATGCGGAAATTCAACCCCTAGAACCTGAAAGTCATTGTACCAAAACTCTATGAACGACAAGTCTAAAAACAAGGGGTACAGCCCCGAAACTAAACAACACCTTAAACCAATAGTCTGAGTCCGAAAAGAATGGACTTAAATAAGAGAGATCCATGACAGCCTGAAAGAACTGGCTCACCCTTGAATCCGGTCACGCTCAATAGTCACCTACCTGAGGTCTATCAATAGCCACCTGAAGATGCCCTGTACTCAACAAAGAAAGAGCAATCGCAGTATCAGTACACAACCACAGTGTACTGGTAGGATCACGCGGCTATCCCATTAAATGTAACATACATTAGTCAATACAACAGTATAATCACGTGCACATATCGAATATATACAATATCATCAACATATACGAACAATGAGCAACTTCACGATTCTCACAATTATATCAATTTAGAGCAACATACCATCTTCCAATATCAATCATTATTAGATATGAACGAACTCATCACAAGTAGATACACAACACAATTCAATGGTTCTCTCACGGAACCCAATTCAATGATCCTCTCAAGGAACCCAAACCTAAACTGTTAGCATACTGGTTCGTGGTACCCGATCCAAATCAGTGTGCCGGAACGTGGCAGCCGATCCCATATTTATGTCGAAACGTGGCAACCGATCCCATATTTATGTCGTAACATGGC